CCATCTCTCCTGAAGTGACAGGATCCCTGGCCACTAGAGTGAGCATGAGGATAATGGTGAATGAGCTTCCAGTGTGTGAGAAGAAGCTGTTCATTCACACGCAGCCGTCCTTCGAAGGACAGGAACCGCACGTGCCCTGTTGATGGCTGCATTCCAAGGGCCCAGCTCACCATCTGAAAGGGACAGCAGGTGTTCCATAAATACCTGCACACTGAGAAATGCAGTCTAGCCCATACCTTCACCTATCCAGGGCTCTGCTTATCATACACGTGGAAAGAGAGCCATCCAACCTTGAGGACCCTTGAGATGTGACTACCAAAGGGTTCTTACAGGATCCAGGACATGGTTCAGTAGTAGAGTACTTGTTTAGCATGTACAAGGCCCAGGTTCCATCCCTAGCACCACAAACCCTAAACAGCTTAGTTGGTGGAGTGCTTGCCTTGGAAGGCCCAGGTACAATCCCTAGCGCTATATAAACTAGATGTGTGGGGGGTCACGCCTATAATCTCAGCACTCAGGAGGTGGAGGCAGGAGTTTATGGTCCTCCTCAGCCACATATCAGGTCCAATGGTAGCCTAGGCTCCATAAGGCCCTGTCTCAAAAAATAAATAAGTAGCCTGGCCTGGTGGCACATGCCTTTGATCCCAGCAGTGGGGAGACAGAAACAGATGGATCTCTGCCCAATCCCTAAGACATACATGGTGGTGGGAAAGAACTGACTCCTTCAGGTTGTCCTCTGACCTACACACATGCACCCTGGCACACGCATGTGTGTACACATACACATAATTGTAATAATTTTTTTAATTTTAAAAGATTTTCACTAGCTTCTGGTCCAGGCTCCCTATGGTGTACACGTGTGCGTAGATATTCACATATGTGTAGACATACATGTGTTTGTGGATGCACACATATGTGCACATGTGTATGAAAGCCCCAAGGACTTTGGGTATATTCCTCAATCACTCTCCACCTTATATATTGATGCAGTCTCTCAATGAACAGAGAGCTCACCAATTAGGCTAGTCCCACTAACCAGCTGGTCCCAGGGATCCCCTGTCTCTGCCTCCTGAGTGCTGAGTTATAGGCACCTGCCCAGCTTTTTTGTGGGTTCCCAAGGTCCTCATTATTTCTTAGCCAGCACAGCCCCATGATTACTATTTGCATCCTACTTTTTTCAAATGCAAACACTCGAAGATGCCCAAGTTGCTGGGCACTTCTGTCTCGATGAGTGCAGGATCAAAAGCAGGCCCCGCACCTCCTCCTCCATCATCTCTCCCTAGGGTAAGGCTAGGAACACAGCTTTTAAAGAACAAAAAGGAGTGACGACACAAAAACCACAGTTTCTTGTTTTGGTGAGCAGAGCTCCAATGAGAAAAATCTTTGGTCTCCTCACCCAAAAAAGCAGAACAACCAGATGCGTTCTGGGGCTTTCTGCCCACAATCATTGCTCTTCTCTAAGATTCCAGCAGGGGTAGTTCTGGGCAGGCACTCTGGGTGCCTCGGTGTGACTGGTCTCTGTCTTTAGCCATCCTTAGGGCTCTGCCCATGGACCCCACCTGGTTCTCTGCCTACCATGCAGGCTCCCCCTCGCCCTGACTCTATCCATCTCTGGCATCTTCCCCTTTGCCAGGACTCCCAACAAATCCAACCAAGGGGCAGAGGGTACAAGACTTAGACTCTTTAGAAAAGAGACTTTAAGCCCAGAAAAGACAACACATCTACCCCCACCCTTGTTACACACCCCCAAAATGCCATCATCACTCTCTGACCACCTACTATGTGCCAGGCAGTAGGCATTAACTTTAGGCTCATCCAGGTTTCATGACACCTGCTGCACAGATGCTCCACTGCACCCACAATATAGATGTGAAAATTGAGGCATGACATAAGTCACTCTATGGGGGAAAACCTGTATGTGAGCATCATGATCTGGCCCCAGAACCCACACTCAACCCTCACGCCAAGAGCCCACGCTGAGTCCAAAGGAAGCCATGTACAGCCAGGGTACACACTCCAACCCATTGCCTCAGTTTCCTTGTCCATTAGTGGGATAACCAACAAGTATCGTTTTTTTTTGGGGGGGGGGGTTAAATGGCTATCACATGTAAAATGCTAGCCCATAAATGACAAGGGTCAGTTCCTATCATATTGCTATCCTCATTAGCACTGCCCAAGAGCACAAGGGGGCACTCCAGACAGTGCAGGATCTGAAAACTGAGACCCAAGGTTTCTACAGTGTCCCAAGGCAGAGCATCTTTACAAAAGCTTGCCCTTGCTCCTTCATGATTCTCAAAACAGAACACCTGGGACTCCTGGGAGATGGGAAGAGTACAAGCCAGTGCCTGGTTGCAGCCATACCCAGTGTAGAGACTGAAGGAACCCCAAAGTCTGAGGACCAGAAAAGAACAGAGCCTGTGACTGGAGTTAGAAGTCAAAAGGAAACTCACCGGGAACCCCTGGCTTCCTCTCAGCCATCTCAGACCTCACTTCCTCCAGGCAGTCCTCCCTGACTTCCTACTCTCTGGAAGCTGGGCCCACTACCCTAACCACCTGTATGTAAGATTATCACACAATAGTAATAACAGCTGGTATTTACAAACTGATTGCCTGTGGGCACTGCACTGAGTGCTTTAGATTAACTTTCATAACTTACCTCTCTTCTTAAACCCCACAAAACAAGATATATTGCCATCTCCCATTATACAGGTGAGTAAAGGCTCAGAGAAGTCAAGCCGGCTCGCCTAAACTCACAAGTCCAAGGACCTCTCTCCGGACTGCCTGGCTCTAGATTACCGAACCTCCTTGTTATTTATTTATTTGGTATGTGTGCCACCGCGCGCGCGTGTGTGTGTGTGTGTGTGTGTGTGTGTGTGTGTGTGTGTG